AAACTCTACTAAAGTCCATGGAGTAGCTGAGCTCAGAATCTTGCCCAGAGAGATTCCTTTGCATGTAAATACAATATAAATATAGCTATATACAAGTAGGTAGAAAAAGGTCTGGTTTAACTTTGACACACATTTGACCTTAACTTTTAAAGAAAATGAAAAACATTTTAAAATAGATGGACCATTTTGTCAAGTAATTGATTACAAAAATGAGGCATTTGTACATCTTTAATAAACTTAAAGACAGAGGCCTTACTTCAGCAAGAAGTTAGGCATCATGTAACTTTAAGCATGTGGCTGGTATCCCTGGGCTTGGTTTTTCCATTGCACCTGAGCTCTGCTTAAAGTTAAGCATATGCTTAAAGTTCTGAACTGAAAGGGGGTGAGGAACTTCATCAACTTCAATGGGAGCTCTTTGCATACAGGACATGTTGGGATTAGCTCCGTATTAGTCAGTGTGTGTATTAGTTGTTTGTGTACTGTACTATCCTATGTGTGGTTTGATTGGAATGCATTTCAGTTGACTGCATTACTCATAAGTGACTCTGACTCTGTGAAAACTCTGTTAGGGGGTTCTATGTTTATGGAGTCCCACTGACTCCTTACATTTTACTTACAGGTTTCTTTTTAATTCTCAGTATTGTAATCTCAACCTGGGTTGAGTAGGGATTTTTTCCTCATCTTGCTCATCTTCAATAATAAAGGTTCTGTAGGCCAAATTCTGCTCACGTTTACACCTGTGCAATTATATTACCTGTGAGGAAATTAAAATGTAGGCTGAATGAACTATGGAATTGTAAAATGCATTAAAAGTATACCACTCTGAACAGTACTGGACACACATGCAAACTGTATTAGTATCTGAGACACTGGACCAAATTCAGTCTTGGTGTAAGCAGACATAGCTTCAAATGAAGAAGGTTGAATCTGGCCTTCATTTGAGGAGGAGACTTTCAGGAGCAAACTCGTAGCAGTGTAATATAAATGTTTATACAGCATTTCCTCATATTTTGAGAACTTTGAAAATGCCACAGATGTATAGATTCGCTAAGCAAATGTTTCAATAATCTAGCCTAAGCGAATTCATCAGTTAAATGGAGTATTGGAGGTTCACAGAGTAAGTGGAAAGTAATTATCAGCCCGTCAAGGTTGTTGTTGTTATGAGTAATGAAGTTACTTGACCTTTGAAACAAAAGGTTTTGGTAGTCCGGGAACAAATCAGTGAATAATAGTGCAAGTTATTCTTTTAATAATTGCAATGTTCTAAGTGCCAAAAAGTGAATATTTTAAATAGTATAGAAAATTGCTTTTCAGGTACTTCTTATGGAAAAATAAGCCTGACGTGGCTCATTCTCTGTAAATAAGATGGCATGTCCAGAGGTTATGATGACTATTTACGGACTGAGAGAATATAGCACACTAAATCAACTGCAGGCCCTGCCTATACTTGAACTTATACACAAGTTTAGAAGTTGTATCCTAACTATGTCTGAGCTCAAACATAGTTTTTTGCAAGTAAATTCTACCCTCAGCAGAGATCATGGCTGTTGTTAATATAACACAATGTACTAAGTGCCTTGAGGCTTTGTCCACATTAGGAAAATAGATCTTGTGCCTCCACATGGATTCCAGCCCCTCTATTCACCTCCATTGTTTGAGACTGTGTTGATTAGCACTCCCCTCCTGGCTGCTGGACCCAGAGACCCCATGAGGACTGAGGGAATTTCTAGCATAGAGGGGTAAAATGGGATATCTTAATGTTGACTGGGTAAGCATTAATGTACCAACAGAATACAATAAGGTTGGTTGGTGGATGATGCTGCCTCCCTGGAATCTCACAGATCCCATCTCAGAAGGGATCCTGCAAGCTCTGGGGAAAGGGAAAAGAATGGTAGGAAGCCTGTGTGGAAGTGCAGGGTGCAATATGGCCCAAAGTTCTTTAATTTAAAAATGTCTGTTCAATATGTAAAGTGACACATGGTTAAACAGCACTGTGAACTCTTCATAGTAGGGACTTGCTTATGTGACATGCCTAGCACCCTTTTGGGTGCTATATTAGTAATAAATATGAATAACTTCCCAAACTGAGTTGTTGCCATCTGTGTTTTTCTATATATTCTCAACGCTTATGGCTAAATTGCTGACACCAAAGATTTGCAAAAAGGTCCATTCATTTAGAATGTTCTTGTTTGGGTCTTTTGTTGTTTGGAAGAACTTTGTCCACACCCATTGCCCTTTGATAGGTGAGCACTTTTTAAAGTAGCACTTGGTATTGGTCACTGTTGAGCTAGTGATAATGAAGAGGCGGCTGTTAAACTATTCTCTCATTCTGAAGGGAAGTTGGGTTGATCCAGTGTGCATGTGGATTGGGGGCTTCTGGTGGTTCTGAACTGGAATTAGTCCACTCGTCTTAAATAGACCAGCATGCTATGTTTCAATTTACAGTGAAACAAACCATAACTGCTTTGATTCCATCTCATTGCACATTTCCAGAACCTTTAAATCAGAGAGTGCCTAAAATGTAAGGTTCTACGCAATCACTGCTTACAAGTTACACACTCCAGCTGCAGTTTAAATATCATGCTGAAACATGTTACCCTTTGGAATCTTTTTAATAGTGCAATTAATGTATCCTCCATTTCATAAAGCCTATATGAAGAGTTCCTTTCAAATCCCCACGGAAATGCTGCAGTTCATTTTACACAGTGTCATCAGGCAAATTCATCTGAAGAAATTATCAGTCTTAACAGTGCCTCCTCTGTCCATTTATCATGTGTCATTCCCCCTCCAATGAAGAGGTATTACAGGCTATTAAGAGTCCATGGGAACGCTCTTCATTTGAATTTGCATCAGAGATGATTGAATGTTGTTTAGACAGAACTTTAAGTGCAATAAATAGGACATTTGGAGACTGCTGGGAAGATTGATGAAAAAGGATAATGGCTTGGCTGAGACTTTTGGAAAAAAAGGCAATCAATTAACTGGACTAATCTAAATAATCTGAGGTACTCTCTCTCTGTAGAAACTCTTGTGTTTATATAAGATTGGGCTTGGAGGAAACAGCTGCTGTTTAAAAAACGGCCTGTGTGAGGCTGTGTATTTTTGCTTTAAATCTGTAGCATGAAGCCAGGAGGATGGGGAGGAAAAAATTCTAGGTAAAAGCTCTCCAGTGAAGTGTACTGAGAGAGAGGCTTCAGTGACAATGCTGTACTTATAAATCATTTACCTAAGAATGATGTGATCATGTATTCATAAAGCTTTATTTCCAGAAAGGCATGTAATCATGAAAACAGACATGTTGCTAGCAGAGAATGCAGCGGTCTGAAGAACGTGTGGAAGCCTTTATAACACTTCTATATGAACAAGCAGAGTATTGTGACTTGGATATCAGTAAAGAAGAACACATCTAGTAATTGGGATTTCATATACAGAACTTTCAGAAGCATTACGCTTGCAGTATTGCTAATCCCAAGTGTTGCAAAAATATGATTCAGGCCCCTGAAATCAGGAGATTTTTTTTACAAAAACAATAAAGTCTGGATTCTTTTAATTTGCCTTCTGGTGTTTGAGCCTTTTAGGATTCATGTTTTCAGGCTTCTCTGCAGCTGTGGGGTTAGAAACTTTAAAAAGAAAACTGAGATTCTCATGTAAACCTGGGACTGTAGGAGCTGGGGATTTCAAAAAAATACCAGATATGAGACTTAGTTATTTATTTATTATTTGTATTACCATAATACCTAGAAGTCACCAGCTTGGCTAAACAGTGAAATCCTTGCTGATCTTAAAAGCAAAAAAGAAGCTTACAAGAAGTGGAAGATTGGACAGATGACCAGGGAGGAGTATAAAAATATTGCTCAGGCATGCAGGAGTGAAATCAGGAAGGCCAAAT